CCCCTGAGGCCAGGCTGAGGGGTCCCCCCCGTGTTCAGCTGTGCTGGCGGCTGTTTCTGGCCTCAGGGACACTTGGCATGGGCCCCTTGGCCACCAGTGGTGCTGCTTTGCACTCCTTAGGCAGGAGCCGATGTCCTGGCTGGGTGTTGGCAACAGCAAAGTGCCAGGGCAGGCTCTGTGCCAGCCCAGCTTCCTGTGGGAGAGATTTCACAAGAGACAGGATTCTGGCCACGGACTGCTTGAAACATACATCCCTTATCTCCACCCTGCACAAGGTGGAGAATTTCAAGGGTAAGGAATTCCAGACATCAATTCCAAGGGAGATAATTGAATATCTGCCCTGGGTTTGGTTCTTCTTCTTGCCATAGGCAATGGCAAAAGCTGTACCCACGGCATCTTGGTTTTTATCACCAGCTTCCAAAAGTGTTTCTTTATTTCTCCTGACCTGAGCTCAGGGGGTGCCAGGGGTTATGGAGGTCCCATTGTATTCCTAAAGCTGCCATAACCCCCTGAAGGATCTTTCGACTAAAATGAGTTCTTCTTTCTGAGTCTATTGCTTCCACAGTCCCTTCTCTATGAATTAATTATTTCAGAAATACCCTAATAAGTGATGCAGTGATTGCATCAGTCAGATTGAAGCAGTCAGAATTGCTTTTGCCCCCTGTTAGGTGCCATGGTGTCAGCAGAAGATATTGAAGCCTTCCTGCTCAGGGCATTTCAGTGTCAGGCTCTTACAAGCACCCACAGCTCCTTGGGTTGAGCTGAGCATGGGGCGGTGACCTGCGCTTTGTCTGATTCCCCTTCCTTAATAACAGCCTGTCTTGTAGCTCTTTTCCCTTCTGCTGCCCTTGCAGAGCCATCCACAAACACATTTTGTCCCTCAGGCCAGGGAATGTCCCATCAATCTCTCCCAGCCTGGGTCTGGAGCTCTGTCCCTTGAGTGCAGTCCTGGGTTTCTTGCCAGCCCCTCTCCAGGCTGTTCAAACAGGAGGTTGGGTTAAACCCTTGCCCTGTCCTCAGTTCTGAATCCTCCTGTCCCACTGAACAAGTTTCATACTGTAATAACCGAGCCCTGCTCATTCATTTAGAGGCTCTTTTGGTTGTCAGAGCTTTAACTTGCTGCCAGACTTGAACTCTAGGAGATCCTCCTGTTGTCATCAGTTTTCAGGCCTCAGTTCCCATGTGAGTTGTGTCTGCACAATTCTGCAGACAGATTGAGGCCACTCTGGCCACTGGGTTAAACATTTTAACACAAGAATTCTTCGGCATGGCCCTGTTTAACATCCACCTATAATTCAAATTCTTTCTCCCTGTCTAGGAGGGCCAGGGCAGGAGCCTCAGTTAATCTGCTTTTTAACACTTGAAAATTCTGTGATTCCTCCTTGTGTCCATCCATCCAGTTTCTTGACTGGAGTGTTGTAGGGAGAGATCCCTGGCTCCAAAACCCTGCCTTTAAGAGAGAGTCAGTAATAAGCTGTAAGCCCTTCCTTCCCTCTCTTGGAATAGGGTATTGATTTTAAATCAATACAAGCAACCTCTTGTCCTTGTTGCTTCAAAGTAATTTGGTGAGGCTCCATATCTAATTTTCCCTCTTTCCCTGGACTGTCCACATTTGTGGGTTCACTTCAGCATAGGCCTTGCCAGACATTTGACACATAAGTACAACATCATAAGCCTCTGTATCACCTTTTACAATATAAAAATCCAGCCACCAAATTCCTTCCCAGTAAATTGCAATCACAGTAGGAAGAAAAAGAAATTAATGTATTTCAAGCGTATCCCCTACATCTCCTAGTAGTGGTTGATGAAATCATACCTGCTCATCTTTCCCACTTATTCCCTTAATAATTAAACCATGCCTTTCCTATTTTGCCCATTAGGTCTAAGATTCAGAGTGGATTGAGAGGCCCCTGTGTCCATCAGGAGAGGCCTCCTCTCAATGCAGACCCACCTGAATGTTCTCAAGGGCTCCAGTGTGGAGGGTCCCTGGTGTGATGGGAGCTGTGACAGCCCTGCCAATCCATGTCCATCACGGGGTGGACTTGCTGGTCCTGAGGGTGCTGCTGTCTGTGCTTGCAGTGTCCTTGTGCCCTGCAGCTGGAGCCCTGATTCCTTGCCAGGGGCTGTTTGGGTGGGCTGTCCCCTGCCGAGGAGGGCAATGCCTCTGCCGGGTGCTTGTGGCCGAGCCCGTGCCCTGGGTGCTGGGGCCCCCTTGGGCCCTGGGGTTGATCCCTCAGGGGCTGTAGGAACTCTGCCCTGGCCTTTGCCTTCAGCTTGGCCTTTTGCTGCTCCCTTCTTGCATTCACCTGCTGGGCCTTTGTGCCCAAGTGGTGCTGGGCCTTCTTCTGCCCCTCCTGCAGCCCCCCTCGGTGCCTGTGGGTGCTCATCCTCTGAGAGCTGCTGAGATTTCTGCAAAATCCTTCGTTTCTGTGGTGATCCCAAGAAAAGAAAAGAAAAGAAAATCTCAGTCCTTCCATGTACAATCTGTATTTCCCAGGTGTTCCTTGCTCCTCGTCCCTGTGCTCAGGGTGCCCTCCCCAGCCCGTATCCCAGAGCCGGTCCCTGTCCTGCCGCAGTGTCCAAAGGCGCCCCCCGGCGGGCAGGGCCGGCAGCTCCACGGGGCCGGGCAGCGGCCGGGGCGTCCCGCAGCCTCCTGGGGGCCGGGGGCCACTGCCGGCCCTGCCCGGGGCTGGTGGGGTCAGGCAGCGCCCGGCGCTGAGCCCCGGCTGCCCCACAGCCCTGGCCCGGCCCCGCAGCTCCCCCCAGGCCCCCAGCCCATGCTCCCGGTCCCGCACCTCTGCGCCCGGTGCTGCCGCTGCCCCCCACAGAGAAACCCCCTGAAACCCTGACCTCCTTGTTTTCCTCTCCTGGAAACCGGGGATACAAATGATCAGCTGGCAAATGTTGAGGATAAGACTCTGCTGAAAAACATCCAAATTCTGAGTATTTTTCTCTTCCTCCCCTTTTCTTTTTCTCACCACATAGATTCCTTCTGCTGCTTCCTGCCTTAATCAAATTCCTGCACACTCCCCTTCACCCAGTCTCTTCCCAGCACACCAATGCCATCCATCCCCTGTTGTCCAAATCCCTTCTCCACTTCTCTTATTGCCCCCCTGGGTGTCCAAGTCCTTAATTGCCTCTGAGGGAGTGTGCAATCTACCTCACCCTTCTCCCAAGGGACCCTTCAGAGATATTTTGGGATCATCATCCCTTTGGCACAGGACCCCTTCCTGGCTTTCCCTTTTCTGTCTCCATGGGTGCCCTGCCGTGCTCACTCCCCAAAGATCCCAGTGCACTCACTGATGAGATTTTCAGTGCTCTCTCCCTGCTGACTCTTCACAGCCCCCCCTGATGTGTCACTCGTCTGTCTCCTGGTCACTCTCAGGTACCCAATCAGTCCCCAGTGCTGCCGCCCCCAAGGGGGCTGATCACCCAAACTGGGTGAGGCACCTTCAGCTGCACTCATTGCCCACTGCCCCAGACGGTGGATAGAATTCCGGACGAGTCCCAAGGTGTGTGGAAAATTTGACATCACCAGAGGATTCTGTCCACAAAGCAGACAGAGGAGTCCTGTAAAAGTAATTTCATTCCTAAAGAAAGGGAGAGGCCATGGGACATTTCCTACAGGGTCTCTCCAGTTGGTGGAGGACACAGCCTCCTGTTCATCCTAATTTTCCCAGCTGCATCTCCCTCTTCCTTTCCACATTGGGAGGTGTACTTGAGAGGAAGAGACTTCCCAATCCACTTACTACATATCCCCTTGATATGCTCCCTACTTTTGTGTAGCAACCGATATTCATGGCTCTGTGAAGTCTTTGTTGTTCTTCTTCTCGAAGTTCATGAATGTGGCAGGACCTTGGCTGAGCAGCAGTCTGTGTCATCAGTTAACAACATTTTCTTAAACTGATGGCTTCTCCTGTCGCTTCCTTACGTACAAGTTCCTGGCTCTATCTCTCATCAGATTCACAGCATCTGATTGTAAAGACACTTTCCTCTTCTTCCTTTCATGGGGGTCCCCCGTTTGTGGGACATCCCCCCCTGGAGCTGTGTGTCCCCCCTTGCTGCAGCCCCAGCCCTCAGGCAGGGCTCAGCCAATCAGAGCACGCGGCTCTGATGACTCAGCAGTTGCCAGGCAGACCCGCAGCTCTCAGCGTTCCCCACCTGCGCCCAGCGCCCCCCTCGGCCCCAGCGCCCCCCGCGAGTGGAATTTGGGGAGGTGGGAGTGGGGCAGCGCCAAGGCCGGGCCCCCCCGCGCTGTCCTGGCGGGAGCGGCTGCAGTGGGGACCGAGTGCGGGCGGGAGCGGCCGAGAGCCCAGCGCTGCCCCAGCCCGACCTGCCCCAGCTCCATCCCTGCCCCTGCCGTGGGATGCTGTGGGTTTGGGGGCAAGAGGGAGCCGGCAGCGGGTGCTGGGCCTGGGGCAGGAGGAGAAGGGAAGGAGAAGCAGGGTTGAGGAACAAAATGGTGAAACCCTGGACGTGGGAGGAAAAGGTGGGATTGTGCAGGAGAAGGAGGAATAGCAGGAGGAAGAAGAGTGTGAGGAAGAGCAGGAACAGAGGAGGAGGAGGAGCAGCAGAAAGAGGCGGCACCACACGGTTCTACTCCTCCCTGTATCTGCAGCCTCCCCCCCAGCCCCAGGAGCTTTGTCCGTATGCAGCAGGTGACCAGGGGAGGGGGAATCCATGATTTTCACAGAGGCTGAATCTTGGGGTTTCTGAGCTTTACTGGGCAAATGTTGGTGCTTTTGTGCTTTGTGAGGGCTGAATCTCTGTATTTTGAAGGAGGTTTTTGCTGAATATTGACGTTTGGGAAGTTTTTGATCTGCATCTTGATGTTTAGAGGATTTTTGTGCTGAATCATGGTATTTTGGAGGTTCTTTCAGACACAAGATGCCCATTGACTTTCCCAGATGAACTTGGGCATGGAGGTTTTCCCAGTCCAAGCTGCTCTCCTCTTGATTTTTTCTGCAAACCAGGATTTTTAATTCTCAGGGTGTGGCCTGATGGAGGAGGAGGAAAAGCCCCAAATGTACCTCATGAAGAGGGGCTGCAAACCCTGCCCAGGGAATTCTGGGGAGGAAAGAGCCCCCATGAGCCAGGAATGCATCCTGTGATCCAGCCAGAGCTTGGAGCTGGTGGAGAAGCCTCATGGCAGGGAGAAGCCACACAGGTGCTTGGAATGTGGGAAATGTTTCAGCTGGAGCTCCAGCCTGAGGCAGCACCAGGTGATCCACCCTGGGGAGAGGCCCTTTGAGTGTGAGGAGTGTGGGAGGAGTTTCAGCCACAACTCCATCCTGATCCAACACCAGAGGATCCACACTGGGGAAAAGCCCTTTGAGTGTGGGGAATGTGGGAGGAGCTTCAGAGGAAGCTCAGCATTGATTCGGCACCAGGTCATCCACACGGGGGAACGGCCTTACACCTGCTTGGAATGTGGGAAGAGCTATAGGTGGAACTCTGACCTGAGAAAACACCAGGGCACCCACACTGGGGAGAGGCCCTACGAGTGTCCTGAGTGTGGGAAGAGGTTTCACAGGAGCTCCGATCTCCTCAAACATGAGCGGATTCACACAGAGGAGAGGCCCTTCCGCTGCCCCGACTGTGGGAAGGGCTTCAAGGAAAACGCCAAACTCACCATCCACCGGCACATCCACACTGGGGAGAGGCCCTACGAGTGTGGGGAGTGTGGGATGAGCTTCTCACAGAGCTCTCACTTGACAGAACACCAACGGAGGCGCCACTAAGGGAAGCCCTGTGAATGCCCCAAGTGTAGGAAAAGCTTTGTGTGCTGCTCCAGCTCTGTCCCCCATGAGACGATCTACATTGGATGATCCCCAGTGAGCGTTGTTGGGCAGAGCCCTGGTGATCCATGGTCCTGGTGATCTGTGTTGGGAAGACACCTGGCTTGGAGGCTCCACATCTTCCTGGTTCCCTGTGGGTAGCTAGATAAACCCAGCAGCAGGAACATCCATTGGGACACAGACCTACAATGGGAATTCCTTGGGGAGGGCAGATTTGTTGACTTTCAACCCCATAAAATCTTTTGCATTCAATCCTATCTTCTGGTGACATCAGGGAGTACTGAATGGTGTTGAAGGTATGTTCAGGGTGGACTATATGATGTTTGTATCCCCAGTCTGTTCTGTTTATGCTTTAAAGCTTTAAAGTACCTTTAAGACTTTTCCTGAGAGTGAAGAGGGAGAGAAGAAATGCGGAATTTGTTTTCAGAAACTGCACTCACTCCTCCACATTGCTGCTCCTGCACTGTGTTGTCTGCAGATGGACAGACAGCGGGACAGAGCTCTCCTTTGCTTTTAGTTAGTTTTAGCTAGCTGAGGCAAAGTAGTTCCCTACTGTGGGGTTTTTTCCCTTTTCTTTGGACCTGTTTAAACCTGCTCTGGCCTGAACACCAGAAGAGCATGGGCAGCTCACACCTGTGGCCCACCAGGCCGGGCCTGGGCCGCGGCATTTCCAGCACCAGAGGGACTGATAAGGGACTGAGTGAGCTGAGCTACAGCCCACAGAGGGACTTTGTGAGTTTGTCTCTCTTTTAGAGCAGCAAGAGGTTTTATTGTTTAATATTGTTTAGGTTTTATTGTGTAATAAACAGTTTTTTCCACTTTTCTTCAAAGAGTTATTTTATTTTTCCTGAACCAGTTGGGGGACACATGGACATGGAGGGGGACATAGCCATTCATGGGGATGTGGGTGGACACAGGCATGGATGGAGATGTGGGGAACAATGACAGGGATGGAAACATGGTGGGGAGACAGCCGTGGGTGATGACATGGTGGGACATGGGCAGTGACATGTGGGGACATGGCCATGGCTGGTGCCATTGCAGGGGATGTGGGGGATGCTGGGTTTGAGGGAGTTGAGGGTTCTTGGGAGGGATTTGAGGCTTGCTGAGGCCTTTGGGGACCCCAGGCCAAGTGGCTCTGGCTGTGCTGGGAGACCCTGGGGGAGGTTCTGGGGCAGCTGCTCAAGGACCCCCTGAACTGGAGCCCCAGCCGGGCATTGGGCTCTTGGAAGGGGATGAACATCCTTGTCCCCAGGAAGAAAATCCCAGCACCCCCAGGGTGTCAGGGGCAGCTGAGAGGCCACAACAGGAGGGGAAAGCCAGACAGAGCTGTCACACTCTTAAACTACACCCCAAAAGTCCCAAAACTGAGGGATTGCTCCCAGGAAAAAGCAGCCAGGAGATGCATGAATTGAGGGAAAGGGGGGATGTGACCCCCCAGACTGAGCAGGAGGGACCTGCATCCCCCAAAACCAAATAGGGACGAGAGGTGGAGCTGAAGGCATGATGGGAAAGGGGTGGGAGTGCAGGGAAAAAGAGGATTCAGAGTGGGAGAGGGATGGGATCCCCAGATTGAGTTGGGAGGGGTCCTTGGGTTGGGGGAATGATAGGAGAGGGGAGGGAAAGTTTGGGATGGGATAGAAAAAGGGTGGTTCCGTGGGGATCCCACTGTGTCCCCATTGCTTGATCCCTGGAGTGATTCCCTGGGGCTCTGGAGGGGAATGGATCTGCACTGGGTGGATTCCCAAGCCCCCTGCCCATCCCTGGGGAGCTCATGGGATGTTCCCTGGTTCCTTCCACCCAAATGCTGCAGCCATGGGAGAGAGAAGGGTGTGAAAGGAGGATCTGGATTGGGCACAGAGGAGGAGCAATAGGAAGAGGAGGGAGAGAAGAAGCGGAGGATGGGAAAAGGAAGAGCAGGAACAGGAGGAAGAAGAGGAGGAGCTGCAGCAGAACCACGCTGTTTTCCCACTCGCCCGCTGAGTCTGCAGCTCCCCTGGCCCTGGCAGCATCTATCCCCCCAGATCTCACAGGTGAGTAGGGAGGGGGAACTCACCCCAAATCCATTGGAGGATCTCTGGGAGGGTTTGTTTCAGGGGAGGGGATGTTTGGATCTTGCAGGGCCCCAAGGGTGAGACACAGATGCCCCTTTGGAGAACTGTGGAAGGTTCCTGTGGCAAACTGTCTGTACTGGCTGGGGCAGTGGTACCAGTTGGGGGGGACATTGGTGTTGGGACTCTGATTGGCATCAGAGTGGGGAGAGCAACAAAGGCCAATCCTGGAGCTGGGGGATCCTGTCAGCCTGGAGGGGTGGGGGAGGCTGGAGATGAGCAGGGTCTGGGCCCATCCAACTGTGAACAGGGCAGTTACTTTTTGAGCTGGACTTGGGAAGCAGGACCAAGGGCCTCACCTGTTGTTTTTCCCCCAAGCCAGGATTTGTCAATCCCAATCTTTGTCTGGATGGAGCTGGAGGAGGCTGTGAGGAAAAGGAAGATGGCCTGGGACACTGAGGCAGGCAAGGAGGAAGTCACTGCCCCTTTCTCCCTCTCCTCTGTTTCATGTCTCAGCCCAACATTTCCTCTGGCTGCAGGACAACCCCGCTACCAATGCCGTCCTGCCAGGGATGAACTGGGGGGATCTCCTTCCCCTTCCCTCTGGCACAGAGGCAAATCCCATCCTGTCCTTGTCCACAGCTCCTTCCCCTTCTCATTCTGTCCTTCTTCCTTCCTCATTCCTTCCTCTCCTTTTCTTTCCTTTCCTTCCCCAGGCACTGAGCTGCAGACAGAGACCAGGGAGAGCAAATCCCTGCTGCAGAACCTCATGGAAAAGGCCGTTTTGAGCAGCTCCATGGCATGGGAATCCAATGGGGAGGATAAGCCCTGGAGATCCCACACAAGGAGGGGTTGCAAACCCAGCCCTGGCAGCTGTGAGGAGGAAAGATGCCCCCTGTGTCCAGAAGGCAGCCAGAGATTCATTCAGAACTCAGAGGTGGTGGAGACAACTCGTGGCTGGCAGAAACCCCACAAGTGCTTGGAATGTGGGAAGGGCTTCAGCTGGAGCTCTGGAGCTCAGATGTGATCTGGTTCCAGGTGATCCACATGGGGAAACGGCCCTACAAGTGTGGGGAGTGTGGGAAGGGCTTTGGGTGGAGCTCCAACCTCATCAATCACTGCAAGATCCACACTGGGGAGAGAACCTATGAGTGTCCTGAGTGTAGGAAGTGGTTTCTGAGCAGCTCCAATCTCATCATAATGAGTCAAGGGATCAGCTGGAAATGTATTTACGATAATTGAAAACTGTGGTTGAGTCAAGGGGCCAGCTGGGAGTATAACTGAGATAGTAGAAGATTACGTATTTTAGTTAAGATTTTAAAATTAGTTAAGAAGGTATGTTAGCTAAGCAAAAATCACATAGGTTAGTGAAAGAGTAACAAATATATTAGAAAGTAAAGCTCGGAGTGACAGGGATAGATGTAGCAATTGTGGAGGAGCAGAGACCATAGAAATATCTTGCCTTAAGAATAATCAGTTTGGAGAGGCTTGGACCATGACCAGCAGATCAAAAAGTCCTGCAAACTCGCCATGGGTGAAGAGTTTACCATGAGGAAGACAGCTTTCTTCTTCACATACGCCCACTCCCTTATTTCAAAATCCCACAGACCCAATTAAGGCAGTGCAATTGTGCAGACATATTAGGTATTCAGCTGATTATAATACAAAGTGGGCAAATAATGATTCTGTATTATGCATCCTTAGAAACCGCTTGGATATGTAAAACCTTTTCTGTATAAATAGAGAGCAGGAGTCTGCAACTCCTTGCACATCCATTTGGAAATGATTCCTTATATGTCCAGCACTGTGATAAAATACCCTTCTTTTCAACTTTAATTAGTTGAAGAGTTGTCTGTCTGGGCTTCAGTACATCAGCAGATTCACACTGAGGAGAGGCCCTTCCACTGCCCCGACTGCGGGAAGGGCTTCAGGCGCAACTCCACCCTCGTCACCCACAGGCACATCCACACTGGGGAGAGGCCCAATGAGTGTCCTGTGTGTGGGAAGAGATTCTCCAGAAGCTCTCACTTGGGCCAACACAAATGGAGGCACCATTAAGGGAAGCCCTGCCAGTGTCCCCCATCCCGGTGTCACCCCCTTTTTTCTGCCCTCAGAGCTCCTGAGCCAGTGGCAGCTGCAGCCCCTTCCCGTGGCCTTGCACCTGACTGGGACCTCCTGTGATTGCGCAGGGAGGATTGGGGTGTGACTGAGCAGGGAGGGTGGGGTCCAGGGAACACTGGGTGCTGTGGGTCTGCCCAGCAACTGGTGAGTCATCAGAACTGCTCTCTCTGATTGGCTGATTCTTGTTCATTGCATTCTCTTGTTGCCTGTGGAGAGGCCTGGGAGTTGAGAGATGGAATGGGAGAGATCCCACCCCGAGCACTGGCACAGGGAGAACAGACCCAGCCTGGTCACAGGGAGTGAATTTATGTACCGACCAAATCACATCAGGACAAAGAGAAGGGAAAGGAATCTCTCCAACATCTTCCCCCCACCTAGGGGGGTTAATGATGATGGAGAGACGGGGACATCTGAGTTTAGATCAGAAGCCAATTTTATTGAGTATGCCAGGGATTTATATGGGGTTTTACTTGTATGGTAGTTATATAGGCTCCATTTTTTGTAACAATTTCCCATTGGTTACACATTCTTGAGGACATCAGGTCACCTGGTAACATTATCTTATCGCTAAGTTACTAAGTTTCACATCTTGTTTCTTGGTCCCCTCTTGCCCAGGGAGCCTTAATCTGTGTCTGTCCCTCCCACAGTTTCTGCTCAATCAGGCCTAAGATATCAGGCCCCTTCATCAGTTCCACTGTACTTTTTGTTTTATTCCCCATACCTCCCCCTATCCATTTTAACAAAAATACACTCTTAAGTGACTTGTCTATT